TACATCGGTCTAACAATTTCACTATTGACCGGTCTTACATAAGAATTGTTAGACCGCAACGTCACTCGTCTGTTACGTCACAAGTAAGTTCAATATCGGCGACGCGATTAAGACCTACAAGAGTTGTTGCTTACAGCAAGGTAATGAAAAAGGGAATAGAATGTTTTGTTATACCCTTATAAATATCATTCTATATATTTATTACCAATAAAAAGTCCAACAAAAGAAATGTTAAATACATCGGTCTAACAATTTCACTCTGACCGGTCCTACATAACAATTGTTAACCCAACGTCACTGTTACGTCACAGGTATAATTTTCGTTCAATTTCGGCGTCACGGAAGTAACCGAAGTTTACTGCTGCAAAAGTTGTCGTTTATTATTTCTGTTATTTAATTATTACTTTCTCTGTTATTTTAATAACATAGTTGATATTTTTATTGTTTGTAAAGTTTTTTTTAATTGTTGAAGCCAAAAAGTGCAGATAAATTTATTGTGTAAAATATTTTTGATTAAATCTGTTCTTAAGTCTTCACTTTGTATTTGTAATATGTATATATCTTATGTGAAGGGTACAACAAAACAGTTATAGACTGGGTTTCGGGCAACATATAATTTGTTGGACCTGAAGGGAAAATGTTGCCCTTGGCCTGCGGCCTCGGGAAACATTTTCACCTTCAGGTCCAACAAATCATATGTTGCCCTCATACCCAGTCAATAACTGTATATTGTTATACCCTTATAAATATCACTCTATATATTTATTACTTATAAAAAGTCCAACAAAAGAGCTGTTTATTACATCGGTCTGACAATTTCACTATTGACCGGTTTACATAAGAATTGTTGACCAACGTCATAATCTGTTACGTCACAAGTTTCAATATCGGCGACGCGAAAATAGCCGAAGTTAAGACCTACAAGAGTTGTTGCTTAGAGCAAGGCAAGATAATGAAGAAGGGAATAGTATGTTTTGTGATGAATAATTTTTGTGATACAATAGATAATAATAAATATCATTCTATATATTTATTACAATTAAAAAGTCCAACAAAAGAACTGTTTTTTAAAAATCAACTAACAATTTCACTATTGACCGGTCTTACATAAGAATTGTTAGATCTAACGTCACTCGTCTGTTACGTCACAATTTTAATCATCGTGAAATATCGGCGACAAAATAGCCGAAGTTAAGAGCTACAAGAGTTGTTGCTAACAGCTAGGTAGGGAAGAAGGAAGAGTATATTTTGTGATAAATAATTTTTGTGATACAATAGATATATAATTGATTTTTTTTTTCTCAGCTTGATGTTTTATATTTACTGAAGAAGCCATAATTTTCCATATTAAATAATTGATAATATAGCGTGTAATGATTAAATTGATCATTCTTAAGTGAGCAGTGAAGGGTATAACAAAACAGTTATAGTACATTCGACCATATCATTTGTTGGACCTAAGGTGAAAATGTTGCCCTTGGCCTGCGGCCTCGGGCAACATTTTCACCTTCAGGTCCAACAAATCATATGTTGCCCTCATACCCAGTCAATAACTGTATATTATGATTATCGCTGGGGTTATACTAGTATAGTCTTCAGCATAAATACCTACTGGTTAGTTTGCGTACATTAATTACCAAGGGTTTTTGAGACATATTTCTTGTCTTTTTTTTGTGGAGCATCATAAGGAAGAATACTAATCGCATACAGGGCTATCAATCAATAAAATTTTTAAATAATACATAGAATAAGTAAATGAAATTCAAAACTATACATTGTGTGTGTCCTATAGTGTTAAAGGCCGTGAAATTGCGTACTTTATTTACTAGTATTTCGCAATAAAGAAGAAAAAAAAGTAAAAAAAAAACTTTATAAATAATACCCAAGAAAAGGTCATAGCGGAATAAACACGCATGTGAAGCGTAAAAGCCTTAGCACCTAGAGTGAAATGTGAAAGTCCTAGCACCTAGAGTGAAATGTGAAAGTCCTAGCAGCTAGAGTGAAATGTGAAAGTCCTAGCACCTAGAGTTAATTATAAGTGTCAGAGTCCTAGCACCTAGACTGACGTATGAAAGTCCTAGCACCTATAGCGAAGTAGGAAAGTCCTAACACCTATAGTGAAGTAGGAAAGTCCTAGCACCTATAGTGAAGTAGGAAAGTCCTAGCACCTATAGTGAAGTAGGAAAGTCCTAGCACCTATAGTGAAGTAGGAAAGTCCTAGCACCTATAGTGAAGTAGGAAAGTCCTAGCACCTATAGTGAAGTAGGAAAGTCCTAGCACCTAGAGTGAAGTAGGAAAGTCCTAGCACCTAGAGTGAGGTAGGAAAGTCCTAGCACCTAGAGTGAGGTAGGAAAGTCCTAGCACCTAGAGTGAAGTAGGAAAGTCCTAGCACCTAGAGTGAAGTAGGAAAGTCCTAGCACCTATAGTGAAGTAGGAAAGTCCTAGCACCTAGAGTGAAGTAGGAAAGTCCTAGCACCTAGAGTGAGGTATGAAAGTCCTAGCACCTAGAGTGAAGTAGGAAAGTCCTAGCACCTAGAGTGAGGTATGAAAGTCCTAGCACCTAGAGTGAGGTATGAAAGTCCTAGCACCTAGAGTGAAGTAGGAAAGTCCTAGCACCTATAGTGAAGTAGGAAAGTCCTAGCACCTACAGTGAAGTATGAAGTATTGTACCCTATTTTATGATACCGCGGGTATGATTTTTTTTTTTTATTAAAACCTTAATTCTACGTTATTTTTTTTTTTGGATTTTCACGTGGAATACATTGTAAATATGTACTAGAAGAATAAATTGCGAAAAAAAAAACCTTTTGATCCGGAGTTGTATATTTGGGGTGGGGAGGGGGATTGTCCTGTCCACAAGTACCTGTGGGAATGCACTAACTTGTTAAAGTACTAGTTTTGTAGACAGAAAGACTAACAGACAAAGAGACGACCAGACAGAGGGACGGTCAATGGGAAACACGACATGTATATCCCCCCCCCCCCCCCCCCGAGTCCTAAATTATGGGAGCATAAAAATCTAATTAATTATTGGAAATGAACATTAAAGAAAATGAGGCAACATCGCATGCACAAGAATCTACATGATTATCGCTAGGGTTATACTAGTATAGTCTTCAGCATAAATACCTACTGGTTAGTTTGCGTACATTAATTACCAAGGGTTTTTGAGACATATTTCTTGTCTTTTTTTTGTGGAGCATCATAAGGAAGAATACTAATCGCATACAGGGCTATCAATCAATAAAATTTTTAAATAATACATAGAATAAGTAAATGAAATTCAAAATTATACATTGTGTGTGTCCTATAGTGTTAAAGGCCGTGAAATTGCGTACTTTATTTACTAGTATTTCGAAATAAAGAAGAAAAAATATTCACAGATATGAATTTGTTTTTACAATTATATATATACTTAATGCAAAGAATTTAAAAAAAAATATCTAGACTTCATGAGAAAAAGGGAAATTAAGTTATTTTGAAAAATACTCTATTCTGCGACATTGAAAGCACTAGCCATTCTGTACATGAAGGCAAAACAATGCGAGAACACAAGGACAAAACCGTTTTTAGAACGTTATTCATGAGCAAATACGATTAGAAACAGAGTTACACCACTCAAAAAGAGAGTCGTTAAGCAAGTTCAAAATCTATTCATGAAATCCCTGGGGAGATGAAACTAACAGCAATAAAGTTTAAAAAATCCATAGGAACAAAAAACACAAAGCACAGCTAGGCAGCAAACATGAAGCTCTGAAAATCTTAGAGGTGGGAATTAGCATCCCCTGTGCCCATTTTCATGATCGGGCAAAAATGGAAAATTCTGGAGACAATTCAGTGTGAAAATAAAAGGCTATAACAATTCATTATTAAAACGACATCTGACTTATCGATAGAATGCAGTTGCTAACAAGGCATTTGTATCAACCATAGGATTGTCTTTAAACGAGGTTGTTGATATCTTTGTTTCGTCAACTTGTTTGTCAGTGGCTTGTTTCGTTTTTAAGCTGATTGTTTGCAGTAAATACTTACATGGTATATATATAAACTCAATATTCAAGTGATACAGGTATATTGTTTCATAAATATGCGATGTTGAGGATAGAAAAGGTGAAATGATCACGTAAAATTTGTTTGTTATTTAAGCTTTAATGTCGTTGTCTTTTATTTCGAGTTCAATAGTATGTAATAAATCACGTATTAATAAAAAGAAATTTTTTTTTTAATTACGAGGGGTGATCAAAAAGTTCCCGACTAACTGAATAACTTCCATTAATGAAACAATATTTGGTGTTGATTATATTTTTAAATATTAAATATTAAATATTAAAATTATTGTCTGCAAGGCCTTTACATGATAGTTTAGGAATCTATTAATAGGTATGGTAATTCAAATCACTAGTAATTCTGATGTTGTGAAAATTAAAAATATATAAATCGCCAGATATGAATGTTAGTGAGCTTTTTAATCCTGCATTGAAAACTGACTGGTTTCCATATCTTTTAGTCCTAAATTTAAATATTTTTCAGACTCTTTACCTGCAATTTTTTTTCCATTTAGGCTTAATTTGTTTAAAGTTAAAATAACCTGAGAGAGAGATTGACGGATATTTAATTTTACAAGATGATGTGGTTTCATTCAACATTTGATATTTTTTCATTTTGATAGTCTGGTGAAAACTTTAAAATTGCATAAAGAGCGTGTATTCATGTTTTCTCTTGTGTGATGCTTTCCAGGCTTTTTTCCAAGAATTTCATACTTAAAGTGATTGAAAAACATTTTCTTCGCAACCAAAAATAAAAAATCCTGAAAAAAACACACATATTTTCGGACTAGTTTAATATATGTGTGCTTCTCCGGACAATATACCTACAAATTACCAAGTACGAGTTTTACATTACATGTCTTCCAATACGTGAAAATATTTTTTTTATTTCAACACATGCAATGCATCTCAACGTCTTGAATCAATTGCAAGTTCATGGCTGCTAATATCCGCGCAGGTGCGCAGAGCTGCCTTTGAATCGTACTGTAGTATAAAAACCCGTGGTTTAGTTCTCCGATACAGAATCTTATTTTGATGCCTGTGGTTAAGTTGACATCGACTGATGCCATCCAAAATTTAAAATAACGCCCCTGTTGACCTAGAATTCTCGGGAGGCGGCGAGACAGTTGGTCAATTGGACAGCGGCGTTAGTTTGACCAGGTCACAATCAGGAACTAAGGAGAATGCGTGCACTCTGTGTTTGTTTATGTTTGGACATAGTGATATTAACATGGGTAAGTAATCGACAATTTTGATGAAATATACATGTACACTTAATAAACATCACTATGCTAATAAAATGGATTTTATTCCATGATTTTAGTTAAAGGTTTTGTTTTTGCTAATGATTTTTAATGAATGATTAAATGAGAGCGGTCAACTTGAGAAATGGTTATTATTAATATGACCTCTTGACCGATGGTGTTGTGAAGCCGTGCAGTAAAAAGACACGTGGGTTTTTATAAACAGAACAGCAAGTAAATAAAACGTGATCTCGTAATGTATATAAGAAGTCGAAGAAATTTTATAAGATGGAAAACGATTGTCACTTGTATACGAGATTTTGTTATGAAAGATTAAGATGAAATTAGGGATATAAAGTGCAAAGTTAATGCTTGATCTCCTTAATGAAAATAACAACCCAGTTGTCACCGAGACCGTGCCATTAAAATAATTGTTCTACATATACAATCATATTAAACTAAAAGGTAAAAAAAACTGTGCATGTGTGCATGTTAATTCATTTTAGTGGTAGTACGACACTCCTGCTTGTTGAAGAAATCAATATGTGTCTGCTGCATACTCTTCATAAGTAGTTTTCTTTTTAATACATAATTATATAATTGTATGTCAGAAGTATGACAAATGTTAACTTTTATTGGATGGCATGAAAACCATGGTAACTGTATACTTAAATCTGAAGAAAGAAAAATCCTTATTTCGGTGATCCGACAGTTTTTATATTAAAGATTTACATCCAGTGTTAATAAAAAAGTCTTAAAATCTAACTAACTATATCACTTATGCTGATTTCTTTTTGGTATGTCAGATATAATTATGTCTAAATATAAATATGCCGGAATTTCTGAATTTTTCTGTCCATCGGGCCTTTGTTTACATCACATGCACAGGAAAAACGAGAAAATACTGTTCAATCATTTTTTTTTCATTAGTATTTTCAAATCACGGAAAATACCATCGTCGTAAGCCACGGCCCAAATATATGATACTCTCCCATTCTGGTAGGAGAGAGCTAAATTTTGGCTTGAACTTACAATAAGAAATTTTGTTAAATTAACTTTTTTATAGATGTTTAGATGTATAAGATTTTACAAATGTAATATTAAGAGAGGAGAGTGTGGGAAAATTTGTATGTATATATAGAAAGTCCCGAAATTTGTTTTTTTATTACTGTACTTAAAAGGCGGCTGAATGGTGCCTTACACTTCCATGGCAATTCCAGCTAATAGTTTATATGCCATCTTAATAATTTTTTCTACTGATATGACTTTTAGAGAGGATTAATTTGTCAGTATCACATCCTGTAATCCTTTACTGGAAGTGCGAATAAAATAATTGGAAACTTTAGTTCACAAATTAAACAAAAAAAGTGATCTTTTTTATAAAGTAATGATATGGCCCATTTTTAGTGTATTTCATAAATACATGTATGCTACATTTTAAATTTGCAAAAACGATATGATCTCGACTGTTGAATTCAATATGTACATCCGCATAAGCCTACAGATTTACATGTTCATGTTTGTAATTTAACCACTGAACACGTTACTGAGTATATACATGTAGGTGACCAGGGCTGATGAGTTCGCGACATGACAAAATGATCTTGTATAAAAACTTTCAGTGAAAGACAAACGAAGTAAAGATCTATTAAACGTAATTGCATCTCTGAGAAAGGTTTGATTTCTTTTCGTGATTATTATGATTAAATTAGCCTTAAGGGATGTCATTATTGCCTTAAAAAGGATGTAATTTTGCTGAGACTACATCCTCAGCGTTTCGAGGAGGAATCTGATTGGCCTATTGATACACTGTTTATAGCCATCTGTAAAAAAAAAAAAATCACTGCATACAGGACAAAGAACGAATTCTGGGCCGTTCTTTTCTTTTCTGAAATTTGTGGGTCAAGTAAAGGATAATCGGCAGACGGGGGACCCCTAACCGGTAGTTAATTCGTGACTTTTCATAAATAGGGCCCAGACACGGATCATTGAAATAAAAACTGGGACGCTGGTAAAGCGACTCACAGTAACAAGGGTGACGTATATTTCGAACCATCACGACTATCCCACCCCTCCCCAAATACAACAATGCATAATTTCCGCAATTTATTTTTTAGGTATAAGTCGGTCGGAATATACGATTTCCTGATTTACGCGAAGTTAGTTTCTTATATAAATATATATATATATATATTGCCAAATTAAAAAAAAACTTCATTTGACCTAATATTTTCTCAAGATCCACAATGCTGTATAATGTTTTTATTTACAGAATTCCTGTTGCAAGTTATTAAAAGTGTTAACAAATGATATATACAGTCAGAATATACAATATTGCACATAGCCGGAATTCCAATGAAAGCTTTAGAGCAACCCTGTAGAAAGAATATTTATAAAACGTTAAATTAACGCGTAGATCTACGCCAATTTTAATTATATATAACTTCAAATGCAGAAAGAATCGGGGTCTATAAAGGCAAGGCGTTTGTGCTTAAAAAATATGGAATCAAAATTATTTTTTGAAGTTTAATATCTGCAATGCAAGTAATTAATTCTGAGTGTGTATGTGTATATCTTGCTCATTAAAAAATACAAATGTAACTTGAGAATTATTTTATCTGATGCCTCATGTTAGATGTAAGATGAAGAAAAGGGTAAATGAGGTACTGTGAGCAATGGGCTCACTTATTCCCATATGTGTATAAATGGCAGTGTCCATGTTTTGCTATGGGAAACCCAAAATATGTGTCGGATCAAAAAGTAAAATAGGAGGTGCACAATGGCAATATGTAATAAAGATTCTGTGTAAGTTTCATCAAATTTCATTCAGTTGTATAAGAGGAGTTGCGGATAAGAGATGGGTACCCCAAAGCGTAACAGACGGACGGACGCAGACGAACGGACGGACGGACAGACGGACGGACGGAAATACCGATTACTATATACCCTCCCGCTTTTCAAGCGGGGGGTATAATGAGAGAATTCTTATTCTACTGTACAGTGTCTTATCAGCTTTTCCTTCGTTGGCTTCGTTCTTTCTTTGAAATGAGTGAACACATCAGTGACTTAGATTTTATTTTTTGAATGATGGAATGTTGGCAATGTTCTCAGAGTGTGTGTAAAACACGAAACGAGAAGCAAAAAAAAAAAAAAAACTGACATAGTACATATATATATTTGAGTTTCTAAAATATAACTTGTAAGATTGATCTTTTGTCACAGTGAAGTCCCTTTATGTCCGCCGTTAATCAAAGCTGTAAATTATAAGTAACAATATGCATCGACATTTCATATTGAGAGTTTGATTAGTAATCTTCCTGTCATAGCGGATCCTGGGGTAGATGGGATGAGGGTAATACTGAGAGATAAGAACTCGAACACGACGTAGATTAATACTTTGTTATATACTAAGCAAAAGAAACGTCACAGAGAGAGAGAGAGAGAGAGAGAGAGAAACTAAGAAATGAGATTTATCTAATACAGTAATGTAGCTAATATGGAGTGTAAGAGGGTGAAAATCAATTTATTCAATCCTTTTAATAAAATCAGCTAAGTATTCATTTGGTACACATACGTACTGTATTTCTGTATCGTATTGTGTATACATGTACGTCTGTCTCTTGGGGGGGGGGGGGGATATTTTGTAATTTAATTTAAAAAAATGCATCTGAACGAAACCCGTATTTAACGTCTTATACCAGTGCGTGGCATCTGTACACATCTCAAATACAAATACACAAAAATATGATTTTTAGAACATGATTTTTTAAATATAAATTCCAGAAAATATTTGTTTTGTTCATAAATTATAAACGGTAAAGTCATTCATAAAACAAGTATGTAATTCCTTGGAGTCCTGCTTAATAAAAAAGTTTAAACTTTTGAACTTCAGTTAGCCCCCTGTGCCCCCAGCCTCGCTGCGATCAGAAGACGGCGTGTCAGGAGAGTTTCCACTGTTTAGCCATCTGGTTTACTGTTATTTTTGTTTTGTTTGTAATATAATAAAAACAGAGGGCTAGCGAACGACCCCTCTAACACCCTGGGAGACGTTGTATTTTGCTTAAAATGCGATTAAAAACAGTCAATGACCTTTAAAATGGCTAAAATACCAGATTTGTTTCATTCGCTGATGTTTTGAAGAATTTTTCTAATATAACAAACACATTATTCTCGGACCAAAAACTTTGAAAATCATATTGCGAGTTTGTTTATTTATTTGAATTTGTACTTACGGTTACAGTATTTAAATGTTTAAAATCATTAATGGTTAAGATAAACAAAAATTTGAAAATATATTAAGTTTCCATTCTTTTTGTAGCTGCAGATCTGTAGCGTTATGGTTTTATGATATTTGTCTTTGACAAACACAAATATATAAAACCATAACGCTACAGATCTGCAGCTATTCTTTTTAGTAATAAAAAAAAGGTTGAGCCATTTAACATTTACATTTTTTTTTCAGGGGAGAGAACTGAAGATCACGTCAATTCTGGTAAGCCTGCATGTGCTTTCATATTGGGGGATGCTAAATTGACACGTCTGCTTTAATTATACCCCCGCAAACGAAGTTTAGGGGGGTATATTGGAATCACCATGTCCGTCTGTCCGTCTGTCTGTCTGTCCGTCTGTCTGTAGACAAGATTTTGTCCGGACCGTTTCTCAGAAAGTGTTGGATGGATTTGTCTGAAAATTTATACACTTATTATTCACCATATGAAGGTGTGCACCTGGGATTTTCATCATGATTGGATGATTTTTCTGCATTTTACAGGCGTTTTTTCTTTTTTATTTTGTGATTTTGTTTGGGTCATAACTAGAAAACTATTAGACTTACAATCATCAAACTTTGACAATTTATGCATCTTGGGTAGACGGTGTGTCACGACCTATTTTAAGGTCACTGTGACCTTTAATTTAAGTGATTTTTTTAAAAAAAACTAAGTCTTTAAAATTTTAAATTTCATAATCCTTAAAAATGTAAAAAATATATTTGTATCCTAGGCTTATTAAAAAATGCTAAATTAAGTAAAAACTAAATATTTTTTATCATATACTTTACAGCAAATTCTATAACAAATGTTAATGATTTGAGAGGAATTCAGTTTGTCCCATGGGCATAATTATCAAGCACTGGTCAAGGAGAATTTTTGATAGCAGAAATGTGCATGTCAAATTAGAGAGAAATTAATGAGTTCATTGTCGGGAGTTAACTTGCAAGAGCATCTCTAGATCTAATCTTAATTTACCTCTTGGGAGTTGGGTAAAAAGAAATGGCCTTATAGTTGCTTGTGTTAATTAAGAGTTCTTGTGGCTGTAGTTCAGATAAAGATCTTTCAATTGGTGTAATGTAATTAAAACAAATTGATGTTTAAGTGTATGATTAAAACTGAATTAGTATTGTATGATATAATTAAAATTAATTATATATATGTGTTCATTGAAAAAAAATTACATTTCAATTTTCATATATTTGCAACAAATTGCAGTCATGTCTCACTTGAATTTTATAGTCTAAAGAATACCGGTAATTAATTTTTGAATTTTTTTTATTAGACTGTAGCATTTCCATTATTTCATAATATTGCAATAAACAATTTAAAGCTGCAGATGGATATTTGTTAAGCTCTAACACAGCCAGTTTAGAATTATATGATGTATTATTTGTTTTAATTAATCCCTACACTGTAAGTCTCTTAGAGATGTATGTACAATATTTTAAACATGATAAGAAATGGAAATTAGATCATTGAAATCTGTGTCAATCTGTTAATTAAGGTTACTTAATTTTCTTGCACCCTAACCAATTTATGATTATCAACAATATCTGATGGGCTTATCATGCTGTGGCAGACACTTTATTAGACATTATTATGCTTCCTGTCAGTTTGTCTCTATATAACCCATACCCTACTATTCTCGCATAGTGGTCTAAGGATTTATATAGCGTAAACATACTATGCCGAAATAGTGCACGGCTTTATTTACTGAATAAAATTCTTCAATGCACATGCCGGGGATCGAACTCACGACCATGAGTTTATCAGTCTGATGCCTTATCGATTACGCCATAGAGACGATCACTAATTTTTGCAGTTTTATTAAATATATAAACTTAATTTATACAATTGACACAAGAAGGAGAAAATAGACAAATATTATTTGAAAACAGTTATATTATTCTAAGGAACTTTAGATTAATGTGTACAACAAACGTTCAAACTAATTACACACATATCGTTAGATGAACTGATTTTATAGGGTCATTAAAACGCTTTTTTATATGACGCTTGATTGAAGGATGTAAAAGAAAATTATCAATGAGAATCGACGTCTGCAAACAAATAAGGCTTACTAACATAACAGAAAATAAAGATGAGTTGCTTTGGGACAGAAAATCCCGACTTATTTAGAGAAAATACTAGTAACCCAAATAACTAAGCATGCAAACAATTTTAGCATGAATATTTTGAATGAGTTCTTGCAAGTGCGCTGTTTAAGCACCGATATTTTCAGGAAAAAGTCAAATAGATTGCCGCATAAATAATTACAACAGTCAGCATAATAATAACAATAGTGTTGCATTATGCATGTACTATGCCTAAATAATAGGCAGGGTTTGACACATAGTGCACTCGCCTCCGGCTCGTGCACCATGTGTCAAACCCTGCCTACTATTTAGGCATAGTACATGCATAATGCAACACTATTATATAAATAGTGAATACCACTTACTAAATCCATAAAATATTTCTGAATTGGCACCTACTCTGAAAAACCCAGCGGGGGTATTTGTCCCTATTGGACAGTTCTAGTTGAATTGAGACCTGTACAGGTTTCTGCAACTCTTTCTCTGTTTCTCCATTGTCAAAAGCCACATTTGTCCAGTATCTGTTGCAGGATAAAATCTCAAAGTGACAAAAAGCATATTTGAGGAATTTGACATTTAAAAAAGCAAGAAGAGCTAACGAGCACGTGTTCTGGAAAATAAGGCCCGCATTCTCGGGCTAGACTGCATCTTTTCCCGCGCGGAGTTAACTTGAATAGACGGAGGGAAAACTTGACCGTTCTTAGCGGCAATCAACCTTGTGTGCTTGTCTTTTTGCTTTTCAATACACTAATAATGCACTCGTTAAACCTCCATAGGACCTAGGAAGGACGGTCAGGCAGAACAAGGTTAACTACTGTCTGTAGGCCAAAGTCAAAGGTGATCGATCAAAAAAATCTCTCTCAGAGATGTCAGAGAAAAAAAAATATTTGTGTGGGAGTTGAAGACATTTTTTTAGTAATTTGAAAAACATTATTTTCTAAGTTTCGAGATAAAACACAGCTGGTTAATGTTCAAATTAATTGTGCATTTAAAACGAATACAAATATATATTTTGAAACTTGATACAAGCACAGAGGTTTCCAAATTCACAATTTGTCAAGTTTATTTTTTCTTAATTCTTATCACCTCTATCCATTGGCAAAGAATGCCAGCAGAATTCTCTGAAATCTAGATTTGGGGTGATCGGCGGTCGACACGTCTCACTTCTCCAGCAATACATCTTTGTTTTATCCTATAATGCCAACATAATGCTACACAGCGTGTAGGCACGAGAAACGCCTATGTTCAATGTACACAAAACTGATTAAAAAGTCTTTGACAGGCGCTTGTTGTTGTTTAAAAGAAATGAAGATCGTATACATCATATACTGCTAAAATGTGAATTTTAGTTCATCAGTGTATCCAAGGCTATGTATCGCTATTTGTTCTTGTCCGTTCGTTACACAGCGTCCGTAAACTTTTGAACATAGTACAATTCTCTGTCATCCTTGGACTTTCAGTAAGGCGTGGCATTCTCGAAGATTTTCATTGCAACTTTGAGCAATTCGCCCGAATTTCTATTCCATGTATATTTCAACAATGAATGAATGACTTTAAAAATTTCAGACGTTAATTATGTAACGTCGAGAATACCACGCCTTACTGAAAATGCAAGGATAAGAGAATTGTACTAAATTTAAAAAAAATCAAAAACCTATATCAACACCATTTGCATGTGATTTTTTTTAGCTAGTCCTATATAAAACTTAATTTTTCATTTACATACTAAAACAAAACGATGAATAATATGCATTCACACTTTTCATTTAATTTGAAGTAGAATTTTATTGCTCAGTCTGGAAGCCTTTCTGAACTGCTCCGAATATTATCAGGTACGAATTGATATTTTTTCCGTAAGTAAACAATGGATGATGCGTACGCAGTCATATTAATACGCAGGATAGTACTTCGTTTACTAGTGTGATTTACAGTTAATATTTTCAGTTTTAAATTATCAAAATACTTTATTAGTTTGAGTTAGAAAAAGGTTCATATCACTTTCCTTAGTTTGATACAGAATGTTTATGTTTTGATCAAAACAATTTCTGCACTACTTCATATGCGTATGTTTAATTCATGTGTTATCATCACGGCTTCCTGTTTTGAGGCTTCTGACAGTAAACTAAAAGACGGGGTTACGTGACCCCGTCTAAAAAATCAAAAACCTATATCAACATGATTTGCATGAACATAGTCGCGGGTTCGAATTCCACTGGGGGAAGTGCAGACCGGTCCTCCGGATGAGTCTGTATACCGAGGTCCCGTATCGCAGTAGGTGTTGGCACATAAAAAGATCCCTCAGTACCCAACGGCCCTAAATGCCGAGAATAGGTATAAATTTGCTGCCCGCCACCGGCAAGTGGTGGCGTTTCCATAAACATGTACATGTAATTGGAACATTCTCGAGAGGGGCGTTGAACAACAACGAAAAATGAATAAACGAAGTATATTAATAGATGACAACCATAAAGTCCTCATGGTGGGTCTCTTTGCATCACTTTATGAATAAATGTTACTTTTGTTCTTACTTCAACATTCTGATTTTTTCAGTGTTGTTGCAGCGTCGTTGGAGCGTCATAAGTCTAACACAGTAAATATTCTTTGATATTTTAGAAGCCCCCGTTTTTGATGGAGGTTAGCGGCTCTCCTGGGAAGTATGAGGGTTACATGATAGATGTATTAAATGCCCTGTCAAAGTCTGTCAACTTTACTTACTCCATCCAACCGGAACCGGATGGGGTTTATGGGATGAAGGACGCAAAAGGTGACTGGAGTGGTATGATGGGACTTCTGGTTACTAAGGTGGGTTCTAGCTAGTTACTATATATAAGATGGGGATCTATTAAAATTAATCGTGTGTATAAATTATACAGTCATACATACATGTATACTATTTTTGCTGTACATATATGTACTAGGTTAATACAGTTGAAGTTTGTTATGTCGAAATTAAATATCTCGAATTATGCCCAAGTGAATTCTACACGCAAGCACCTTTTCTGTATATATTTCAATTTTGATATCTCGAAGTGTCAGATATGTCGAAGATTCTTCTCTGTCCCATCGAGTTTGAGATAGCGGGGTTTGAATGTATATATAATTTTAAAATATTTATGATGTATTTTTTCCTTTTCCTGGTTCTTAGAGAAATAATATTTATATATTTAAATTCATGAATACATTTCTTCAGCATCATGAAAATTCTAATTCGTTATCTTCTTAAATCATGGTTATTGTTTGTTTTTCAATGGTAAATATATGGTATTGATTTATAATTATTATATTTTTTGTGGGACCAGTTGTTTTTCCTGTTTTAACTGACATAATGCTCTTATGTACTAAGAAAGCCGATTTAGCGGCCGCGGATCTGACGGTGACAGACAAGCGGAGAGAGGATGTAGCCTTTACCAGTCCTATTTTTCACAGCAGCCACAGGATTCTGGTGTGGAAGCCGGAAGTTCCTCCCTACAGCGGTTTAGCTGTACTGTTTCAACCCTTCAGGTAAATCCAAAGCCGTGAAATTTTTTTGTTAATAAAATATTGGTATCTTGTCTTTTATTGCTGTTCATTACAAGAAAATTTCAAGAGATCAGTATTGTGATTTTGGTGTGATTGTTAGGTTTGCCTTATCCCTGTGGATCTGTATATAGAACCATTTCCAGCTCAGTTTGGACTTTCCTGTAGATCTGTCAAATAAATATTGGTTAAGAAATCAATAACATCAGAAATTTAAATTGTTGTTGACAATGATGAGAAGACAAAATTTTTTCGGGACTGTAATTGGTTATTCGTATTTATTTGTATGTATATTTCAACAGTGTTGTTTTCAGAGTTTATTTTGATGAAAGTCCATGAATAATGGTAGTGGATAAAAAGTTACATTTGTAACAGTTGTTTTGAGTTTATTTTGATGATCATGAATAATGGTAATGATAAAAAGTTGACAAGGCCAGGGTCATATATCTGAAGGGGCAGGGTAGGGGTGGATTCGGTCATGTCCTTCACAAGTAATTGTAATTGACAAACTAGGATACTCCAAATCTTTCTTCCTTGTTCATTGTGGATATGTCTTTCTTGATTTTTGTAAAGTTATCAGTTGTGTTTTTATAACATCAGTTGTATATTGGTTTCACATTTCATGCATCAACGGTAATTCAGACAAATGATGTCAGTATTTTTCATTAACTGACAGAAAATCAGCTGCTGCTCAGTGCTTCGCTTGTCTCCTATATAACCGTTCAGGAAGCTGCCTTTTCTTTATTACCTTGTATCTGGCATAACTGACTTCGAATTTCTAACCCCGCAGACATCTCGCCCACTGTTTACACATTTCGCGTCAATATCAAGTGTACTGAGAACTTATGCTAAGACTGGGAAATGCTAATATATATCGATAAATATTATTTTATTTTAAGATCCAAAACAGTTGCGATTCTGTCTAGATTTCACAAACACCAAGGCAAGACCTTGAAATATACTTAAACTGTATAAACAAAAGTTCTGTCCAGACTAAGTGTAATCCGCCCTATGCTTGACATTAAATCCTTACAATTTTGTTTTTTTTCTTCTTGTGAGGTATATTTTTTCCAATTCACGAACCCCTCTTTAACTCTGAAATAGCCTAATGTCGCTTGCAAGGCTTTCATCATCAGAAAACATCGGAAATTAAGTCTTAAGTCTTATGAACTTTTATTTTATTTAACGCCATATTATCAAAGACTGGTCAAGTTAATGTTTTAAAATCAAAGAAACTTTTCAATTCATGTAAAAGCATTACAGATTAATTTACTTTTTAATTTCGGAAGATATTTGAGGGGAGTCCAGTGTAGTCTTTCTTTATAATTACCTTTCAAACTTAAGCACGAGTTTATAAAGCTCGGAATATCACCAATCCCCAGGCTCGCCCTCCACACGTTGGTTGTTTCCTTCACTTTCAATATCGCTGCCAAGGATCTAAAGTAAAAAAAACTGTGTATCTTTGTAACTGAAAAAAATATTAGAAACGCGACATAAAGGAGCTTAAGATAAGCGTGTAAAAATTCTTACATCATGCAGGTCCTTTGGGTGAGGTCAAAATTGCAACAGGGGAATTCATGCCTAAACTTCACTTGAAACATTCAGCTCTCAGATTTTATACTCGGCTACTTAATTACGTCCACTGTGCAACCGATCTTATCTAAAGGCTTGATCATAACAGACAAGATGTAAAATCCGTTCCATAACAAAATTATGCCTACTTTCGTACTTTTATGAGATAGACCAGAGATTTTCAAAGATTGCCTATACATGTATTATATGTATAGGATCGGTATGCTTGTACATGTAAATACTCACAGATATTGTTTCTTGCAGTTTTCTCAGTTGTTGTTTGCCCAGTAGTGGCTTTCCACAAAACAACTGGGCAACGCTTTTAGACACAATGAATTACATGACATGTACATGTACATTATTCGTTTCTGAAACAATTTTATATTTTATTAATTCTTTTCATTTCGTGTCTATATTGTAGTGCCGATGTTTGGATAATGTTAATGGTGGTTTGTATGATAACGGGAATTCTTTTGACCATCATTAACAAATTCAGTCCGTCTGAATGGAGCAAAATACCGGAAGCCGAGGACAAGACTAATAGTAAAGACAGCTTTACTATCAACAATGCTCTGTTCTTTGTTCATAGTACCGTGTGTTGGCAAGGTATGTCTTAATCAGATATCTAAAGAAAGAAACCATCTACAATATTATCTTTAACTATGCTTAATTCAGCATGAACACAAATTTTCGAAAGAAAACTTCACATGTTGAGTAACTTGGGTTACCTACTTTTATAGGTTTCAAGGAAGTTCCAAGGTCACCGGGCGGTCGCTTTCTGACTTCTATGTGGATGAGTTTCGTGTTGTTTATGATCACTGCCTACATTGCAAATCTTGGCTCGTTTATAATAACAAGTGCCCCAAGAAAACCAGTTCTCCCTTTTAAGACATTCCATCAAATGGAATTGCAGTCCGAAGTCGCCTATGGAACCAAATCGTCGGACAATTTTCTCAAACTTAGTAAAGACCCAGTATTAAATCGTTTATATTACATTTCAAGATCTGAGCCAGATAATTTGTTTGAAACAGACGATGAAGGCTATCAGAAAGTTAAAGCATCTGAGGGATCTTTTGCCGCCATCATGGAAGATTACGTGGCCGAGAGATTCGCGGGACGAGATTGTAGTGTAATGGTGGTGGGGGAGAAAGTACAACCGACAGATCAAGCCATTGCTTGTAATAATGTGTCTCTTTGTGAAGAATTGTCAAACAGCATCAGCACACTACCACTGAAAGAGTTTCGGCAGAAATGGTGGCCAAATGGCTGCAATGTAGGGTCACTTAGTGAATATTTGAATAAACCGGAAGTGACTTTGTTGACGCCTGCGCGTCCTCTAAATACTATTGACTTGTCTATAGCCTTCATTTTGCTTCTTTTGGGTATCATTGTGGGGGTCCTCATGTTGCTAATAGAGGTTTACAGGGCGAACAAAAAATCAAAGGTGAGGGTTTGATATTTTAAAGTTTTGTGTACTTCTTCTTTTGAAAAATTCACTTTAATTTTACTTAAATTTATATAACAGGGGGAGGAGCCAATTAAACTGAAAGCATCCAATGGCGACAACGCTGTGACAGAAGGAACAGATGAGGAAAAGGCTCCAATTGCGGAGGAGTGTTAGAAACTTTACCCCCCAGGCTCTCAGGTACCCCTCCCACTGATCAAAAGCAGAAAACAATGGCCGCACTGATGGCTGCCGAGTTCTAGAGGTTGTACACCGCTGCCTGTAACAGTGTAATGTTGTCTTGTGTAAATGTTGCAGAATGGATAACATAATTATTTCACTGGTTTGATGAACAAAGTTCTTTATAAATATACTGACCTAATTTTTGAAACGGCGAGCTGAAAAGTCATACTCGTTTTTTCAATACCTCGTAGCAATTTTTTCTTTTCAACCAATATTCTGTATTCAGTCAGTGGAAAGTTGAAGTACCGACTTCAGACACAATAATCAGAGATAACCAAAGAACTTATATTTCCAGACAGAGGTGCGTTCTGTGATTATTTTACAGAAGTGTATCAGGTGCTATAGCAGAAGTCATTGTTCTAAGCCGCTGGGCTGTACGTGTTGTATGGGTATTGGTTTTCTGCAGAATGAGATTACAGACTTTGCTCAAGTCGCTAAGAACAACGAGAGTAAATAAGTAGATATAGAATCTATATTCTTGTACTGTTATTTTTTTATATAATCAGTCTGTCTTCTGATCAGAACTTTTAATTATCTGACATTTTTTAAAGAAATATTAACTATATTTATGTGTTTTTTAAAGTGTAAAAAAAAAATCTTTCCTGAAGGAAAGAATACCGGTAATTGTTCTACATTAAAGATATTATTTAGAAAAGATGAAATGAAAAAAAAATTGTTTACTCTTTGCAATACATTCATTACTACAATTTTGTATATTTTTAAAATAAGCAATATTTAAGTTCAAATACTAAAGGCCTCCTTAGCTTATTTTCTTTTTAATGAAAAAAATTCAACGCACAGTATTGCCCGAGTATACTTAATCTTCCGTAGACGGAAAAAGTTCACTTTTAGTAATTTATTTCATTCTAATAACTTGAACTGTTCAATGAATCAGCTATTTTCAGGGAAAACTGCTCAGTCATGTTTTTTATTAATTGACTACATTACAACCGTGTTACCTACTGCCTGTGTGTAAATGAAGGGACCCAATACCAAGTATTAATTTCTTTATTTTATTATTTTGTAGTAACCTTTATTTGCCCAGATTTAGTAACTAATTTTTTTTGGGTAATAATTCATGAAATATACTTGTATTGAGTGAGATATTTGTTGACTATCTGCTATATTGTCCTAGCAGTTTAAAAACTGACTCTGAGAATCCAATGGATGTAAAACAAATGTTACACTCTTTTATGCTTTTTTATTTCCTGCATAAATCCATTTTTATAAAAGGGAGGTAAAACTTTCCTGGTGTTTAAAGGTTTCTTTTTATGGACAACTGATTGGATTCATTTCAAATTCATATAACAAGACATTCACTTGAAAATTGTAAATGGGGTGTCTATTTTGTTTAGCTGCAGAGAAAGAGAGGTTGAACACATTGTTTCGTGACAGTTTGAAATCATCAAAATTTAGCAGCTAGATATTTACGAAAATTGCATTGAAGAGAGAAAATTCTCACTTTTCAACGTACAATCAATACAATGTCTTGTTCTCTGAGAACGCTTACGTCAAATGACCGTGTAGTTATGACTTATGTACATCATGTTTATACATGATTATACATGTTTATACATTTAAACTTTCGTTTTGTTTTTTTTTCACATTTGTAAAATATTTTCATGTGGATCGATGTTGTGAGATTATTTACCAAGTATTTAGTTATATTGAGCATGTTTTAATGTATGATGTTGTCCATTCAGATATGGATCAAAATAAAGTGAATCTCTTCATTTCACTTATTTTGGATCGTTTTCTTGTCTTTACTACAATATAATTTTCTGTGAAAATCTCAGTTTTTAAAATGCAACTCCTATATAAATGTTTGGTCCAATTTTGCTAGGTATTGACTCGCATGTTTCCGACCAATCGTCAGGCCATTGATTTTTGGACTAAAGTATACCATTTTGACAACGGATTACTCCGATTACCTGTAATACAGAGGTCTCATGGCAGATCTGACCTATAGACACGGCATGCTTACTATTCCTAGGCACCTGGTTCCACCGTATCTTTTATTTCTAGGAGTTCATGCCGTTGCCCTGTTCACGATTTGTTTTCTTCGCTGAATTTGGGTATTTGATCACAGATCTTCATCTTCACTTTTTTACAACCGGTAAAACGATGTTGTCATGATAATGTTCATCAATATCTGTAAAATTCTTAGCTGCAGAACTGTTGCTCTCCGAATAAAATGATATTGACAGACCGGAGAGCTACAGTGCCACCCATTGAAGAAACTGTATGTTTATTGCGCACACGGCTCTGGATTAATTGTTCCAAATTCTTACCTCAATTGCCAAAAAAAGCTAGATTTCAAAAAATTCCTTGCTCCTCTATCAAGTACTCTCGTATTTTACATCTGTACGAAGCGCGTTGAACCGAATTATCTTACAAACCAAAATGGCAGTATAAATAGAGGAAATTTTCGACGATCTCAATTTTAGGGCCAGGAGGGCTATTAAAACAATTATAAGGCATGCTTTGTTGTGGAAACAGTGAAAGAATATGTTAAAAACACACGGTTAGTAATATTTTGATATGACAGTTTTAAAAACATGGAGAAATAAATCGAGAAAAAGCGCACTTTTTTGTGCGCAATAAATATACAGTTTTTTTTTTCAATGGGTGGCACTGTAGCTCTCCGGTATGTCAATACCGGGACATATATTTTTTCGGGGAGCTACAGTTCTGCAGCTATAAAATTCTTTAAGATCTACTTCTACAGTTTTGGTCCTGATTTCAGTAAAAATTGATACACAACTAGGCTACACTAAGAAACAAGGGCCTCTTTTGAAGTCATCATTTCACAAGTTCTATGGTCGATACAATGACCTTGTCAGTCGATAAATCTGTCGTTAGATTAAATGCTGATTAATGGACTTCGTCCTATATTTATACACTGAAATTCTATGAATTTTCCATAACATAATAATTATAATTTCCATATCATAACAGGGAGCATTCGGCGGATGTGACCGTTCGGAAGCTTATTCCTCCATGGCAGCTGATCCCGCCTCTGATGTATTTAGAAGTCCGTATTCTTCCCGATTTGCTTCTTTTCAATTTGTAAGCCTTCATTTCCATACCAAGACCAAAATTAATATAAATAGGATTGAAGGTTGAAATCTTTTTTTACATATTGATGTAATATTAAACTTTGTGTTAAAATGTCTGGAAGGATTGCTGTCATATGTAAATATCATATATCTCATTAATTTCTGGAGCGTTGCACATTATTTCAATCTTGCACATGCAAATGTCTACATAAAGTAAGCAGGTATTTTAAAAGGTAGCATTCTTCTCATATTTCTTGTATTTAAAAATTAGTGAAAATTTCAGAATCAAGAAGACAATATCACAAAGTGATGGTATCAGTGAGATTAAATTTGACCGTTTTATTTTAAAGGCAAGGACATAACCTTTTCCCTGGACATTAAGAACAAAAAAAATTACTGTTTCCAATCCATGCGATCCCCACTTCTATTTCAAAAGATTGAACGTTTCCCTTTTTTGCATTAAAAAGTTCTACCATACAGGGCCTATAAGATGATATTACCAAATTGACATAAATAATTTAACTAAAATGGATATTGGCTAATCCAAATATTTTCTCTACTTTTCTGAAATTTTTAGGATATATTAGTTATTTTTTTACGCTTTGTATATTTAGATTTTTCTTATTTTCACTTAGTTGTCACATAAAGATACAAAATGATACAAAAACAAAAAGTTTTGATCGTTTACTAGGATCTAGAAAAAACACTTTTTAGGATTTTTTGGCTCAAATCTCTACTTAAATTGGAAGCTTTTAAAAGCTAACTTAGTTCTAGTTTGTTTAAAAAATCATATCTATTCGACATGTTTTGAAAATTCAGTCCCTTATTATTAATTTTACATACATTTGAAAATTTCTTCAAGTCTTTGATTGTGTAAAAATTATAACTATTATATTCATTGTTCTATAGTAATTTTGAGAGGCGGAAAAGAAGAAATTTCATACGCCACCATTCCGCCAAAAATATAGTCCCTGCTAGTTTTCAAAGGGAATTTACCATTTCTATTGAAAGTTGTACAATTGTGATGAAGAAAGAAAGATATGGTGTTTTGAAATATCTTACACCTAAGTATATGACATATAAGCAAATATACTTTGAATATTTCCTCTAGTCAGAAACGAGAGAAGAGTCTTACCTTAAATACTACAAATAGTGAATTTCAGCAATCTGAGATGAAGATTTGATTGCTGTATGCATTTATGCATTTATTTATTCATTCATAAAAAAACAAAAACATAAAAACAAATTATTTTTAAAGGAAAAAACATGTTACAAAAGATTGATATGTAGAGCACCCATGTGGTACAAAAAATACATGTATTATTCAACATAATTAAGTGTACTGTACACAAGCTATGACTGAAAATGATTATAAATATATAAAAATTATTTTGTAAATATATATATATAATTATTGTACAAAGAAATTGAATAAATCTACATGGCACTTCTGTACTGGAGATGTCATGGAAATTGTAACTAATAAATATCACAATAACGATTCTGAAAATTCATGCTTCATGTAGAATTTGACAACTGTTGCATGGCAATGTTTTCAACATAAAAATGCCATTTTAATTATAAACTTCAAAGTACAGTATATTTAATCAAAATCACTATATTCAGCTGGGAAACTGAAGTTCTGTTTATTTTCTGTCAATCTTACAATATCTAGGCGTGGCGAGGGGGATTCATCCAATGGTATTCCAGTTGCCCATGGCAATTCGTTGTTTATACCGTGTTGTTGTATACTATTGTAAGCATCGTCCCGACTCAGAATACCGCCAAATATAAAACTCTGAAATTAATAAGTTCGCACGTTTTTGCTAATTTCCATTACAAATAAATTGCATATTTTTTCTCTAACATTATAAAACCTGTAGCTCGCTGGTCTGAAAAAAAAAAATTGGGATGGACTATCAGAGACTGGTCATCCATTCCAATTTTTTCAAACCAGTGAGCTAACAGCAATAAAGGCCACTGAATACTTCACAGTAATAATTACTAAAATTATTTCCTGACTCTGAACATTGTCTGTCTTCCTTACTGATACTGTATTCTTACGCCTTATGACAATGTCAAATCAAACCTCCAATCTAATTCTTACAGGATGTGATATGGAAATTGTTCACAAATAGTTATGTTTTCATCTCTCATTTACTTAGTATTTATCCATTGATGCTTACCTTGTCTTTCACCATAACTTCTATTGCCATTCCTGTACCCAGCATAAATTGATATGGTTTAGCCTGGAATATGAAATGAAATTGACCAGATTGTTTTTTTTTTAAATAAGCATGATCCAGGAGATTCTGATTTTGTGTGTGTGTGTGTGTGAGGGCGGTAGTTATTTTAGCACAATTTAAAAAAAAAACTCTTGTTTAAAAATACTCTTGAAAATACCCTATATACAAAATTTCATGCTCGGAAAAAGTCTTATAGTAATATTACACATGTAGCAATTATTTATTAAAATAAAATTAAAATCAGCATATTAACAAAGAAACTACGTACCTTATTTACAGCCTCTACATCAACCAGTGGAATAAGCAGGTTTTCTTTTGTTGGACTGCGTTTTCTTTCAAAACAAAGAAAGCTGTGGACAAAATCAAATCCCAGAATATAATACTATTATGATGGAAAGAATTCATACTTGTGCCCAAAGAAGTATAATACTGTATACAGGGAAATTTTCACCCACGTTTTATTTTCAACCCTTTTGCCCTACTCAGAGATGGGTGAATTTAAAACGGGGCGAATATAATAACACAGTAAATATTTTCTTACACAAAACTGTAACTGGGCGAACTTAAAACGGGGCTAAATCGTATGCAAGAGTGAAAGGGAGAAAATAAAACTGGGCGAAAATAACCCTGTATACAAGTATTACATACACGTACATGAAAACGTTTATAATTTTAGTAAGCAAGCACAAGTTAATTCTATTTCTGGGTTTATAGAAGTGAGCACCTTTTAGTTAAGTAAAGTTTTCCATTTTTAAATGCCCCTATTCCTCTCTTCTCCTTGTTCACCAGTGTACAGCGCCTTCCACCACGCCAACCTGTCAAAGAAGTACATGTGTACTGAAGAAATTTACAGCAACTCCAAAACTGGATTTAAAAAGCAATTGACACAATTGACTTTTTTTTCTCAGTATTTTAATATTTGTTAAACTTTGCCCCTTTCCATTTAAACTGTGAAATCAATGATGCAGTGAAAATAAGTAAAACTAGATATCATTGAGATGGTGGCCATCTCAAAGGGCCCCGCTTTCAACAATGAACATGAAAATGTAAGGTAGTTTAAAAGGGTTTATTTTGAAGAGGAACATTTGTGTAATAAAGTAAAAGTCATTTAGTACGACTTCACAGATATTGTGAATTTACACATATATATCGAAGTTATCTTGTATCCCGTTATATAAATTAACTGGAATTAAGGTGAAAAAACTATGCACCAAACAAAGATTTTAAACAAAGAGGCTAATTCTGAAAGTGACCTAGAAACTTAGACCAAGGTCACTGCACATCCATTGACCAGTGGCATTCTGTGAGTAAAGTATGAGCCAGATTGGGCCAAGGAGAGAGAAGATATGCTATGGACAAGAACAACCAAGGTCACTGCACATCCATTAACCGAGGGCACTCTGTGAGTGAAGTATGAGCCAGTTTGGGCCAAGGAGACAGAAGATATGCGCTGGACAAGGATTTTTCAGATAATTCTGCTATGACCTTGACCTTTGACCTAGAAACATGGTTCAAGGTTACTGCACACCGGTTACCCAAAGGCACTCTGTGGGTGAAGTATGAGACAGATTGGGCTAAGGAGAGAGAAGATATGCTCCGGACAAAGATTTTTCGTATAATTCTGCTTATGACCTTGATCTTTGACCTAGAAACATGGTTCAAGGTCACTGCACACCGGTTACCCAAAGGCACTCTGTGGGTGAAGTATGAGCCAGATTGGGCCAAGGAGACATAAGATATGCTCCAGACAAGGATTTTTCGTATAATTCTGCTATGACCTTGACCTTGACCTAGAAACTTGGTTCAAGGTCACTGCACATCGGTTACCCAAAGGCACTCTGTGGGTGAAGTAAGAGCCAGATTGGGCCAAGGAGAGAGAAGATATGCTCCGGACAAGGATTTTTCGTATAATTCTGCTATGACCTTGACCTTTGACCCAGAAACTTGGTTCAAGGTCACTGCACACCGGTTACCCAAAGGCACTTTGTGGGTGAAGTATGAGCCAGATTGGGCCAAGGAGACATAAGATATGCTCCGGAAAAGGATTTTTCGTATAATTCTGCTATGACCCTGACCTTTGACCTAGAAACTTGGTTCAAGGTCACTGCACACCGGTTACCAAAAGGCACTTTGTGGATAAAGTATGAGCCAGATTGTGCCAAGAAGAGAGAAGATATGCTCCGGACAAGGATTTTTCCTATAATTCTGCTATGACCTTGACCTTTGACCTAGAAACTTGGTTCAAGGTCACTGCACATCGGTTACTCAAAGGCACTCTGTGGGTGAAGTATGAGCCAGATTAGGCCAAGGAGAGAGAAGATATGCTCCGGACAAGGATTTTTCCTATAATTCTGCTATGACCTTGACCTTTGACCTAGAAACTTGGTTCAAGGTCACTGCACACCGGTTACCCAAAGGCACTCTGTGGGTGAAGTATGAGCCAGATTAGGCCAAGGAGAGAGAAGATATGCTCCGGACAAGGATTTTTCATATAATTCTGCTATGACCCTGACCTTTGACCTAAAAACATGGTTCAAGGTCACTGCACACAGGTTACCCAAAGGGACTCTGTGGGTGAAGTATGAGCCAGATTAGGCCAAGGAGAGAGAAGATATGCTCCGGACAGATCTCGGACGGACAGACGGACGGACAGCTAGACGGACGGACGGACAGACTGATCACTATAGGGCGCCCGCCAAGCGGGGCCCTAATGATACATAAATGTTGAAGGAACAATATAAAAAGGTGAAGAGAAGCAAAATGAATTTTAAAAATTAAAAAAGACAATATTTTAAACCAACTCTTAACACACATATACATGTAAAAGCAGCTTTCAGATTTGAATACTGAAACCTTGTAGAGGTACTTCTGAGGATGGCAAACAGAAGAGTTGACAGAAAGATTTGTCTTCCGCTGATAGATCTGCCTCTGTGTGGGGTTCTGGACTTTCCTCTCCTGAGGCAGTATTGGTTGAATGGTCCTCATTCTCCTTATTGGCATCTGACAATACATACTAAAAAGAAGGAATTTTATGCTTTGTTATTACATATAATTTATGAATGCTGCCAGATCAAGTTATATGAATAATTTAAACTGCTAATGGAAAACTAACTCTTGATTTAACAATTACCTATATATTTGTGACAGGGCAGATAATGGATAAAAAAAACCAACGAGAACTTAGAAATAATAATTTGCCATAGTCTGTCCTGCACTGATTGAGGGTTTGGATGAATGCAGGAAGTTTTGAAAAAATAATTTATCGATCTGACCTATGTTGAAGGCCAAGGTATATATATTTTTATGCCCCCCTTCGAAGAAGGGAGGGCATATTGCTTTGCTGCTGTCTGTCGGTCGGTCGGTCGGTCGGTCTGTCGGTCTGTCGGTCCACTTAGTTTCCGTTCATTTTCTTCGCAACCGTTGCACATACTGAAATCAAATTTGGTATACAGATATATCACATGAATATCTAGGTCAAGTTCTGTTTTGGGTACAATGGCACCATTTTTGACAGAGTTATGCCCCTTGGACTGAGAAAAATTTCAATTATTTACAGTTTCCGCTCATTTTCTTTGGAGCCGTTGCACATACTGAAATGAAATTTGGTATACAGATATATCAAATTATTATCTAGGTCAAGTTCTGTTTTGGGTACGATCGATTTATTTTTTGACAGAGTTATGTCACTTGGACTTAAAAAAATTTTAATTATTTGCAGTTTCCGCTCACTTTAGAAAAGTTGCACATACTGAAATCAAATTTGGTATACAGATGTATCACATGAATATCTAAGTCAAGTTCTGTTTTGGGTACAATGGCACCATTTTTGACAGAGTTATGCCCCTTGGACTTAGAAAAATTTCTATTATTTGCAGTTTCTGCTCATTTTCTTTGGAGCCGTTGCAATACTGAAATCAAATTTGGTATACAGATATATCAAATTGATATCTAGGTCAAGTTCTACTTTGGATACGATCACACCATTTTTGAAAGAGTAATGCCCCTTGGACTTAGAAAAATTTCAATTATTTGCAGTTTCCGCTCATTTTCTTTAGAACAGTTGCACATACTGAAATGAAATTTGGTATACAGATATATCACATGAATATCTAGGTCAAGTTGTATTTTGGGTACAATGGCACCATTTTTGACAGAGTTATGCCCCTTGGACTTAGAAAAATTTCTATTATTTGCAGTTTCCGCTCATTTTCTTTGGAGCTGTTGCACATACTGAAATCAAATTTGGTATACAGATATATCAAATTAATATCTATTAATTTAAGTTCTATTTTGGATACTATCACACCATTTTTGAAAGAGTTATGCCCCTTGGAGTTTGAAAAAAATCCAATTATTTGCAGTTTTCGTTCATTTTCTTTGCACTCGTTGCATATACTGAGATGAAATTTAATATACAGATTTATCAGATGAATATCTAGGTCAAGTTCTGTTTTGGGTAGATGGTGCCATATATAATATATGTTTTACAAACATCTCTTGTTTGAGATATGTTGCAAAAAGTGGTGACAATAGCTTGGTGTGACAGACTATAATAAAAAAAAAACACAAAAAAGAAAGGCAGTAAAAGTCATATTTTTAACAAAATAATATCAAGGACTTTATCAGCATTCTAGCCCCTATAACCTTGTCTATCTGTGACTGGATGTGTGTCTTTTGCCATTCCTCTTTTGTCGGAAGAGCCTTCCACAGTCTATAAACTGAATCATATCTTCTTTTAACTCTTGGAAATTTGTAGTAAATATAGTCAACTAAAAAGAGCTTTATTCCCATATTGAGACCTGAAAAATATGAAGAAGTTGCATTTTAGCTATTTTCCTACTACAAATGGTAACAAGATGCTGAACATCCAATCGGTCGACTTTTTAACAATAAGAAACTTGCCAAAGAATTCAATCATTAATTTTAAATAATACAACTTTAAAAAAAAAATAATGATAGATCCTTGAAAATTCTGTTGAGTTGATAACTGATAGAAAATCTCACCCATAATACAAAGCAACAAGTCGAAGTCCATCACTGCAGACATGACTAGACAACCACAGAGACCCAGAAACACACGCTGAGCAGCTGGTCGGTATCTCCATGTTAGAACACTGGACCAATCAAAAATTAAATGAACATAAAATATTAGAATAAATGTTCCTGGTCTCTTAAATTGTATATTAAATAATCACTAGTGTAAGTCTTTTTAACAACTTTTTTCATTTTTACTTGTAATAGTTAAATAATGATTCATCATTCTGATGTAGTGAATACCTTTCAATCTTCTCTAGACTATCTGCAGCTTTACCAAGGAAATCCTATGTTTGGAAACAGGAAGACATTTTAAATATGTTTCATGAATTTCCTTCATGATGTGTATCCGAGTCATTAAAATATCCAGATAATTTCAGTAATACTTATTAGTATAATGACTGAACAATTTCCTGACCTGTACTTTCTTGGCTACCTCTACAACCACATTAATCTTGTCTGATAGTCCTAAAGGTGGCTCTTCTTTCTAAACATCAGAAAAGAAAACTAGAAAAATGGTACCTGTTTAAAACACTAATTGCAGTTTTAAAAAAGATATTCAAAATGTACATTTGTGGATTTTTGATCTGTGGATAACATAAGATGGAAAATCAAAAGTGTTGTACATTTCAATCTCAAGGTCCTAAATTTTATGGGCATTGAACTTAAACAGAAATTCTAATCAAAGAATTTGATATTGCTTACTTTTGTTTTGTTTACTTCTTCTCTGTCCAGAAAATTAAACTTGATTTTGATTCCTCTAAAAGTACAGCAGCAACAATGTTACAAAGTAGTAGTAACTGAAACTTGAATATTTGGTCAAAAGTCCATGTCATCTTTATAACATACATATAATTATATATGTAATATCTTCAAGCTGTGTGAAAATAAAACGTTTCAGTGTATTCTGATGGGTCATGATATTGGCAAATTATAAAAGAACTGATCCTAAAATAATTTAAAAAGTAATGTATAACATTGGAGCTGATTTGGAATTTTACTTAGACATGTGAACTTTTAAGCCCCATAGATAACTTGTGTACTTACAAGCTCTATACATAGCTGATGAACTTACCATCTCTATAGGTAACTGATGAACTTACAATCTCTATAGGTAACTGATGACTTATAATCTCAATGAATAAGTGATGAACTTATTAGCTCAATAGATAAGTGATGACTTATAATCTCAATAGATAAGTGATGAACTTAAGGGCTTTATGATGAATTTAATCTCGTACCAACCCGTATTTATATCCCAATAGATGTTTAAAAATGATACCTTTATATACTTATATTTACATTTGTGACGCGCGTTATTGACGTCATACTTTATATCACATGCCTGATCGTATTTATAGTTATACTTTTTCAACATTTGCAAATGTAAATATATGAAACTGATGACTTATATAATTTATATAGGAAACTGATGACTTACCCAACTGATGAACTGTATGGAATCCACTCTGTAGATAACTGATGAACTTACAAGCTCTATGGTAACTGATGAACTTAACTATGACATCACAGAGAAATTACGATACATGAACATTTATCCATAAGCACAGCTTTACATGTACCTTATGAACTTAAAAGCTCTTTAAATAAATGATGAACTTAAAAACTCTGTAGATAAATGATAAATTTTAAGTTTTATAGATGATTTTTGCAGTTAAAAGCTCTGTGGATCAATAATCAACGTGGAAGCTCTGAAGTTAATGGAAAAAATTGAACCTTTATGTTTTATGAAAGCACGCACAAGCTCTGTAGATAACTGATGCATTTATCAGCTCTGTCTATTTTTTATGAACTTACAAGCTCTGAAGATAGCTGATGAAGTGTCTGAAGATGAGACATAACAAGAACAGCTGTACAGCCCTTCCCTGCCAGACAGCATACATGTAAACCTACAGTGATGAGCAAGCATGATGACAGTTCCTAGATTAGGATTTAACTTTATTAATAAAATAATATGTCGTATCATTTTCTTCACATTAAAACTTGGAGATGTTCATGTACGTTTTAGAGTAGAAATTTACCATGAAGACTACTAGCGTATAAGCTGACGTCTCCCAGTGGAAGAGACTCTTTATTCCTTTTATTGTGCTGATGTATGGCTTTATAGCTGTGCCTGTGAAATTGCAAAACAATATTCATGCAATCAACACCTTTATATTACTTTGGAAGAGAATTTTGTCTTACTTTTATAATTGATGTTAAATTTTCTTCCAGATTGAAATAGAAATGATATTTGTAAGTTAACTTTTTTAAAAATACTTACTAAACCTTTTGACATTCTCTTTTAAACTGAAAGAAGTGAAATTGTCATCAATGTCAGGTATATAACAAATTAAACAACTCTTTGGCCCAAATATTTCTAAGCAGATCAAAATACAAGTATTGAAAATTTAATGGAGCAAATACACATATTATTGAATCAATAGTCATTTGTGTAAGAAGATGTGATGTTGACTTGTGTCCCAAATCTACATTGTGATGTTGACTTGTGTCCTATACCTACACTGTGATATTGACTTGTGTCCTATACCTACATTGTGATGTTGACTTGTATCCTATATCTACATTATGATGTTTACTTGTGTCTTATACCTACATTGTGATGTTGACTTGTATCCTACATCTTACACATACACTGTGATGTTGACTTGTATCCTATATCTACATTGTGATACTGTATTGACTTGTATCCTACACATACATTGTGATGTTGACTTGTATCCTATATCTACATTGTGATATTAACTTGTATCCTACACATACATTGTGATGTTGACTTGTATCCTTTACCAACATTGTGATATTGACATGTATCCTACAAATACATTGTGATATTGTCTTGTATCCTTTACCTACATTCTGATATTGAATTGTATCTTACACATACATTGTGATGTTGACTTGTATCCTATATCTACATTGTGATATTGACTTGTATCCTACACATACATTGTGATGTTGACTTGTGTTTTAAACCTTCATAGTGATGTTGATTTCTGTCCTATATACATTGTTGTGTTCTAAGCAAAATAATGTTGACTTGTGTCCTATACTTACATTGTGATGTTGACTTGACTTCTATACCTACATTGTGATGTTGACTTGAGTTCTATACCTACATTGTGATGTTGACTTGAGTTCTATACCTACATTTTGATGTTGACTTGCATTTAAACCTACATAGTGATGTTGATTTTTGTCCTATATACATTGTTGTGTTCTAAGAAAAATAATGTTGACTTGTGTCCTATAATTACATTGTGATGTTGACTTGTGTCCTATAATTACATTGTGATGTTGACTTGTTTGTCCTTTTCTTCCTCTGATGACTCCACTGGAGTGTCGGGGGAGAAATCATCTGCAATGTCGTACAAAGAACGAACCACTCTCTCCATTATTCTCGTTGGAAGATTTCCTTTCTTCTCTAAAGAAAACAAATAAATTTAATAGTAGACAATCAGATAACATCAAAAAGAATATTTTTATTGGTAGAAAATATTTTTTTTATTTTATGTATCTCATTTACTCTTTTTTCCCTTTAAATATTTACTAAGTATTTTCTCCTATATAATGATAAATCATGACAAAGGGAGAGGGCTGAAATAGGCTTTGCCTGGTGCCCAATCCTATTCATTTATGTGAATAAAATTTTGAATAAATAAAGAAAAAATAAATAAATCATGACATAATGATACATTTACCTTGTATAGCACTTGTTTTGCTTGATCTGTGTTCTGCCTTCCCCTTTTTCTTACTTTCACTTCCCATTCTTTTTAAATCTGTCGTAGAGGTAGCCTCGGTGGAAGAATGAAGAATGAAATCGCTGTGTCTGAAACGATTTTATTTTTTCACTTTCAGATTCTTTTTTAATTCAAGAGACCATACATTGTCAAAAGGGTAAAATTCCATAAATTGTGATCAATATACAATGTAGCACTCTTCAAATGACTTCAAAGCATTTCTTTCATTTTAATACTCATGTATACAGGGAAATTTTTGCCCCCGTTTTATTTTCGCCCCTTTTGCCCTGCCCTCATTTGGGCAAATTTAAAATGGGGCCAATTCAAACACTAAAGTATAATTTTATCAACGAAACTATGACTGGCCAAATTTAAAACGGGGCAAAATTTTTTGCAAGAGCGAAAAGACGAAAATAACCTTGAATACAGTATATAGTTTTTTATAATGATGGATAGTCCATCTAGCTTTTGAGAAGAAATGGTGTGTAAAATACCAAGTGAGTGCTTTACTTTTTTGAGGTTATCATCAGTTGAAGATCCTTGTTTTTTCTCTTTTCTGCTTTGAGTTCATCTTCCAGCCTCCTAAATGAGTCCTCAGAAAACTTCTTCAACTTTTTGGCTAATTAATATTAAAAAAAGAGTAAAAAAATATGAAAAAATTTAACTTGAATATTAAAGACTTTTTTCTTAAAACAAAAATCTCTAGAACATTGTTGGATATTGACATACCAAGTTGCTCTTTTTCAATCATTGCAGCTTCTAACTGTTCTTGAAGCTGAAGTAGCTGAATTTCATAGACTTCTTTTTCACATTCTGATGTAAACCCCGTGTTTCTGTTTTTTCCATCTTCTTCCACAATATCATAGGTCTAGATAAAGAAAACATTTTAACAGAAACATCTTTTTTTTTTAAATCAATCATGGAATACTTTTGACATTTTTCAATCCACATTTCATTTCAATCTCATTTTATTAATGAGTATTACCTGAATAATGTGGGAGAAGTTTTGTGAAGGGTCCTTTATTGCTATTATTTAAGTTGTGCACTTATTGGAAATGGGTAGATTGATTTAATAATCTTTGGGAAGGAAAGCTTATGTAAAAGAATGGCTGTTGATTTTAGGATATATGTAATTTTTTTTTTCAAATGAAATCTCTTCATCATTAATATTTTTACTGGTGAAGACTTGATCATATTACTATATACAAAATAGATTCTACTGCTCAATGGAAGTTATATGCACTGGAGCTTCAGAAAACATACATCAATTCAATGTGCATGGTTAACAGGAAAAATTATTAACAAGGTATTCTTTTCATAATTTTTTTCATGTAAATATTTCCTGTAGGCTACATTTTTTGTTTAACTAAGTTTGTTATACCCTATATACATGTATTCACAATGTTCAGTGCATGAAGTTATAGCTGTCTTAAACAATAATTTTAGATTAGCATTATTTGTTGTGTTTTATGGGCTATAAATGTCATACACTTTGAAAATTTTCATTTTGGCAATAAACATATCCAGAATATATAATTATATATATGGAATAACTTTTGGTAAGAATTTTTCTGCAGATACCTTTTCATTGATCCCCAAGAAGTTAAGGAACAGACCTACATACAGTGACATCACAATGGTATACATAGTTAGAATGATCTAACTTTGTTCCCGTTGTGGCCTGGTACAAGCCGGCGGACTTCCCGGGTCTACTTTCAAACATTGTTGTATTTCATTACAAAATTAACTGCGACATTCCGTGTAATTATTACAGATATGCGTCGGTATTGTTTTCTTGCTGCAAAAAGTGTATTGCATTGAATTCATGATAATCATGTGATCAGGATAAACATCGGATGTTTTTGTTCGGTCTGTAAATAGAAGAAACCATATCGAAATTGCAAGACCCGGAAAAAATTAAATGCAGTTTAAATGCAAATGTTTCAGTCAAAAATAATGTTCACGCTAAAGCAGATAGACATTTTAAATACATGTAGATGTAAATATATTTGAAAGATCTCAAGGCTTGTAGCTGCAGGTTTAAAATCCTTTACCTTTAAATGCTGTACTTAATTAAAAGTGGTTTGTTAAATTGAGATGTATAAGAAGGATGCATGACGCTGCACAAGTTACAGAATAAGCACAAATCATATAGTAGATTTATACAGTATGACTTTAAATCATCAAAATGCTTTACATAGAAGGAATCCTTTTCTGGTGACTGGATTTGTACAATATTTTATAGGTAAAAAAAAAAGATTGAAAAAAATAGATCAACTGTTCTCGGATTTCAGAGGATTCCAGTATTTTGTGCTTGTACTATCATTCATATTGTTAGACACATATTGACTTATTCTTGATTTACTTGGCCGAACGAAATGCATGAAACCTGCAGAACACCACAACAAATAGATCAAACTAACCCTCTTTTAAATAATTTATGAACAAATAATTTTAAAATTCAGAAATTAAAAAAAACCCTCACCTGAAAAGAGCAAAAAGCAAATCATGACAATATGAATCTCCATATTACTTTGATGATCATTATTATTATAAAGAGACAAAAAGTGAAAATCAGCTCATTATCTCTAACAGGATAAACATCGGATATTGACTATGTATACCGACCATTTTATGACAGGGTCATACACATTCTACCAGACCACTGATGTAGAGATTTGCAAATATGATTTATGCATAATATTGATAAAAAAAAATGGCTTTTTATCTCACCTGAGATGAAGGCTCAAGTGAGCTTTTCTGATCAAAATTTGTACGTCGTCTGTCGTCGTTGTCGTTGTTGTCGTCGTAAACTTTTCACATTTTCATCTTCTTCTCAAGAACCACCGGGCCAATTTCAACCAAACTTGCTACAAAGTATTCTTGGGTAAAGGGGATTCAAGTTTGTTCAAATGAAGGGCCAAGCCCTTTTCCAAGGGGAGATAATTATGAATTAGAGAAAAATTAATGGCATTTTTAAAAAATCTTCTCAAGAACCACAGGGCCAGGAAAGATGAAACTCATGTGGAATCATCCTCAGGTAGTGTAGATTCAAGTTTGTTCAAATCATGACTCCCGGGGGTAGGGTGGGGCCAAAATGGCCGATCAAAGTTTTACATAGGAATATATAGGAGAAATCTTTAAAAATCTTCTACTCAAGAACCACTAGGCCAGGAAAGATGAAACTCATGTGGAATCATCCTCAGGTAGTGTAGATTCAAGTTTGTTCAAATCATAACCCCCGGGGGTAGGGTGAGGCCAAAATGGCCGATCAAAGTTTTACCTATGAATATATAGGAAAAAATCTTTAAAAATCTTCTTCTCAAGACTCACTAGGCCAGGAAAGATGAAACTCGTGTGGAATCATCTTCAGGTAGTGTAGATACAAATTTGTTCAAATCATGACTCCCGGGGCTAGGGTGGGGCCAAAATGGCCGATCAGTGTTTTACATAGGAATATATAGGGAAAACCTTATAAAGTTTTCTTCTCAAGAACCACTAGGCCAGGAAAGATGAAACTCCTGTGGAATCATCCCCAGGTAATGTAGATTCAAGTTTGTTCAAATCATGACCCCCGGGGGTACTTTGGGGCAAAATGGCCGATAAAAGTTTTACATAGGAATATACATGTATAGGGAAACCTTTTAAAATCTTCTTTTCAAGTACTTCAAAGTCATGCTTAGTGATATTTATAGGTAATAATCCTCAGCTAGTGTAGATTCTAGTTTGTTCAAACCATGATCCCCTGGGGGTTAAATTTCAAGCCCCCCCCCCCCAACGTACCTCAGTAAACTTTCAGTTCTGATCTGATATGTGCTTTTTCCTAGCCAATTGCTCAGGTGAGCGATGTGGCCCCTGGGCCTCTTGTTGAAATATAATATCTCCAGTGAGCTTGTATCATCTTTCAATGTTTGAGTGGCCTTTACATGTGAAATAGGCACCGTTGGTTTGCGAATTCGTTGAGTTAGTGAGTAGAACTCAGTATCACAAATTTTTGCAGAGTACTCTGTCTTACCTTTTATCTATTGCATGAAGACTTATATAGTATTAAACCTGTGCCTAAGTGACGAGGACTGAGAATTTGCATAAAATCATTGAGTAGAAGGTTAGGGGGAGATAACTTGAACATCTATTATAGTAAGGTTATGAAAATCTCGAGAATGTTGTATCATTTACCTCAAGTAAGCTAAATGTAATCTTTTGTACAGTAAACGCATTCTATTTGAGAACTTATTGTGAGTTTGTAAGTATTCAAAGTTTTGAACCGAATAAATACGTGCACAATATATTGTACATGCAAAGGGAACATGAAGACGTTTCTAGGTTACAATAAATTTCCTTTACTGGACTTGGTCAAATGTTAGAGACTAGCGTTGCTTCATATAATTTCATATGCTGGTAATTAAAGAAACTCGATCAGTTTCAAAAGTAATTGTTGGCTGTTAATGACAAATACTCAAGGAATATTTCTAGCACTTTTATTGACTAAATAAAGCCTTATTCAGAGTGAAAGCCTATTCTTGATCTGAGTGAGGGTGGCTGAGAATTTGTGTAAAGCCAACAAGTTGAAAGTTAGGGGAAGCTAACTTGAGCACTATTATGTAATGCAAATGTTTCAGTCAAAAATAACGTTCACGCTAAAGCAGATACTAGACATTTTAAATACATGTACATGTAAATATACTAGTATTTGAAAGATCTCATGGCGTGTAGTTGCAGGTTTAAGTAGTAGTTACCCCATATCATACTGTTGGTTATGTGTAAACCTTATTTTATGGTCATAATGACGATTTTAGGGAGCGTGTGTTGTGATAAAAATCAAACACGTCCATATGTATGCACAATAATCAAAAGTGTGATATGTAAATGACTGTCATTTTTTCAAAAATCTTTCATATGTAAGTCAGCTTAGGAATCGGTCAGACTGGTTCGCGTGATTGAAACATTAAGTGTTTGGTTTCAAATATGCATTTGGATTTTATATGATTTTACGCTCCTTCTTCCTTCTGACCACGTCCATCGAATATAGGGTAAGTGATTTGTATACAATATACTTTTCAAATTTTGCTACAAATTTTGTCCTATACTCGGCACTCAGGGTCATTGAACAGTGAGGGATCTTTACACCTCCTGCAACGGGACCTCTGTTTATACTTTATAGGTCTCCACGTCCCACAGTGGGATTCAACTTCTTATATGTTGACTCAGGCAGGTGGTTAAACCACTGGGCCACGCAAGCGACATAAAAATTAAACATCTAAGCCCGTTTAAAAAGTTTGATTTATGTAATTGAAAAAATAACGAGTTTGGTTTCAATGATATATGTTAATTTGATATGATTTTTTTTTCGTAAATTTCAATCGTCAAAATTACATACTAGTAATTTAAATTTATTATGAACTTGGTTTAACTTAAATTTTTGTAAACCTGATACAAACTTTGCCGTGCACAGTGGTACGTTGATTGAAATGTTTGTTATGTTTTAATTTAATGAAAATTAGATATTTGATCGGCTAGATCGAAAAGGTTATTTATGTACAGTAGTGTACACTTGTTTTTACGTTAAGTATGTACCGTGTTTCCTTTGTTGGTTATCAAAAGAACGATATATTGAAATCTACTAAGCTGGTCATTACACTATTTAATTTTTTTTTTTTAAATCAAGCGATTTCTGAAGTTTTTTTTTTCTTCACTTTTAACTAAAGTTAAAGTATTAATGGCCGTTTTTAACTGTTATTTATTACAAAATGCTGTATACAATTGAAATTTTTACCCCTTTTTACTCTCCTAAGTTTGGTATGATTGTTTCATTTAAAAACCGTGCATGATCGTTTTATAAATAGTTCTTTTGTTGGGCGGAGTTATAGAAAAGTGTGGGTTATGTACAGAAAACCCACACTTTTAACAAAAGAAATCACACCTAACTATGGTACAAAATCCTTTACCTTGAAATGCTGTTCTAAATTAGATGTGATTTGTTAATTGAGATGTGTAAGAAGGATGCATGACGCTGCACATGTTACAGAATAAGCACAAATCATATAGTAGATTTATACAGGATGATTTTTAATCATCAAAATGCTTTACATAGAAGAAATCCTTTTCTGGCGATTGGATTTGTACAATATTTTATAGGTGAAAAAAAAAAGATTGAAAAAATAGATCAACTGATCGCGGATTTCAGAGGATTCCAGTATTTCGTGCTTGTACTATCACTGATAAAGTCAGAAAATTTTACAGTCCATGATTCTATGAACTGTGATGCTACAGGTTTAGGTACACGTATTTTGTCCTGTAATTGAAAATGACACTCCACTCCACCCCACCCCAACCCCGATCCGCTTTTTCAATTCTTTTGTTCGTTTGAATTTCACGGGCAATGCGCCAGTGAAATTCCTTTGATATTATTTCATATTGATAAACACAAATGGACGTATTCTTGATTTACTTGGCCGAGCGACATGCATGAAACCTGCAGAACACCACAACAAATAGATCAAACTAACCCTCTTTTAAATAATTTATGAACAAATAATTTTAAAATTCAAAAATTAAAAAAAAAAATTAACTGAAAAGAGCAAAATGCAAATCATGACAATATGAATCTCCATATTACTTTGATGATCGTTATTATTATAAAGAGACAAGCCGAAAATCAGCTCATTATCTCTAACAGCATAGTAGAGACGTCCGGAAAAGAGATATTGACTATGTATACCGACC